AGGAAAGGTTAAGGCGCTTAGGGCTCTTTAGCTTGGAGAAACGACGACTGAGGGGTGACATGATCGAGGTTTATAAGATTATGCATGGGAAAGAGCAGGTAGAGAAAGAGATACTTTTCTCCCTTTCTCACAGTACAAGAACTCCTTGTGGGCACTCAATGAAATAGTTGAGAAGTCGGGTTAGAACAGATAAAAGGACTTCTTCACCCAAAGAGTGATTAACACATGGAATTCACTGCCACAGGAAGTGGTGGCGGCTACAAGCATGGACGGCTTCAAGAGGGAATTAGATAAGCATATGGAGCAGAGGTCCATCAGTGGCTATTAGCCACAAGGTATAGATAGGGGCTCTGGGGCAAGTGATGCTCTGTCTTCTTGGTGCTTGGGGGGGGGTCAACAGTGGGAGGGCTTCTAATGTCCTGGCCCCACTGGTGGACCTCCTGATGGCACTGGTATTTCTGGCCACTGTGTGACACAGAGTGTTGGACTGGATGGGCCTTTGGCCTGATCCAACATTGGCATCTCTTATGTTCTTATGTTCTTATGACTCTAGCATTTGCTCCGCTGTCGTACCAAACCCAGGCTGGAACAGAAATCCCCCTCTGCGTCGCATGCCACTTTCACTTTCTTTGATTGTCGGCTTTTATGGCAGCGTCCAGACAGCAGGCCGCTTTCACTTCCTTCGATCTCTCGGTTTTACGGTAGCCGCCGGCATAGATTTCTGGCTGTTTCATGGCCATTCAGGGGTGACTCTGCAGTCAGTACGGTGTTGGCCCAGGGTCTTTGAATGTGGTTTCGAGCCGCATATTTTTCCGTTCCAGTGTGGGTTTGGTAAGCCAGCAGAGCAAATGCTAGATGTAGACTGGGCCACCGAGAGACTCTCTCCAAAGCTCTTTTGTTCTGGGACACTAAGCTCCCTATTTGGCACGTAAAACTGAATGCCTAGACCGGCTCTGTTCCTGGTGTGCAGAAATGTCCTCCATGGTGTTTTCGGTCAAGTCCAGCAACTGTGCCCCTGTGTCGCTAACAGGGGTCATTTCACAGAAAAAGAGGTGCAGGAGCTCACTAGCATAACTTATTAGCATAGCTTATTTGCATATGCCACACCCCCTGACATCGCCAGAAGTGTGTCAGAAGGCAACACCCACCGCTCAGGCTCCACTGGACTGTTTGGGATTGCTAGCTATTGGGGTGGGGGGAAAGTGCAGATCTGTCCTCACAGAGGAGTGAGAGCTTGTCCCTGAATAAAACTTAAAGGTCTTAAAGGTGCCACTGGACTGTTTTGGATTGCTAGCTATTGGGGGGGGGGAGAACGTGCAGATCTGTCCTCACAGAGGAGGGAGAGCTTGTACTTGAATAAACCTTGGCCTTAAAGGTGCCACTGGACTGTTTTGGATTGCTAGCTGTGGGGGGGGGGACACGCAGATCTGCCCTCAGAGAGGATGTAGAGCTTGCACCTGAAGGCTGGATGGGGTGGACTCTGCAACTTACCTGGCTACCTCTTGCTCCTCGTGGCCCGACTGAGGGCTTCTGGGAGCAGGGGGCGGGGCTGGTTGCATGTGCAACCTTGGGCACCTTACTGCCATAGCTCCGCTCCTGTGCGCTCCCGCAGGAAATGACCCCTGGCGCCAATGTTCCCTCTAAGCTGTGGAGTCTTGTGAGCAAGAATTCTTTTTTGTGAGCTACTGGCATTAAAGTTGTGAGCGAGCATTTGACTACTGCATAAATTAGTTTGATCTGTAGCCATCCTTCCTGAGCTAGGACAAAAATGTGTGAGCCGGAGGCTAAAAAACTGTCAGCTAGCTCACACTAGCTCAGCTTAGAGGGAACACTGCCTGGCGCTGACCGTATCTGTGACACCCTTGAGGAAGGAAAAGAGAGATCAGGGGACATTTCTCACACCCAGTGCACAAACCATATGTGTTTGCACAAGATAAATGTGTTTGAAATAACAGAGGATATGCAAAATACTTCCAGAGAAATGGGCCAAACCTGAAGTGTTTGCTTTTCAGTTAATTTTGCCAAAATCCTGTACAGACACACCCACACATACAGACTATAAAGGCCCGCAAGAAATGTTGTCGTTTGCACAGGTGGGAGGGAGACTGAGTCGTCATCTCATCGGATAAACCAGCTGGACGGAGGGAAAGGTGAGTACCTGCACCAGCCAACCTGGGTCTGTGTGTGGCTTGGATGCTCAGCCGCGAGGGATTCCCTGTCCCTGGAGTTCAGCATCCCAGACTGCCACTTTGAAAATGGATTCCCCGGCCTTGCTGTGTCCTTTCGACTAGTGGACACCAGGATGATCCGAGTCCAAGACAGAGAAATCGGGACCCAGTGGAGGGGGAAAGACGTCTCAGCATGCCCAAAAGAACTTTTACATTTTGTAATTGTAATCCCTTGGTGCTGGAGGGGTCTGGAATTAAAAACAGTGTTACTGGCGTGCTGTTCACATGTTATATGTATGCACCAATAAAGGTGTTCAGGGCCACTGTTGGTTCTGGAGTTGAGCCGTAGTGAACCCTTGAAATCTCCCAGGGTGGCTAGTTGGCCAGATCCTCAGATTCCACTTGGGACAGAGTTGTCTGGGGCCGTGGCTCAGTGGCAGAGCCTCTCCTTCGCATGCAGAAGGTCCCAGGTTCAATCCCCTGCATCTCCAGCTAAAAAGGACCAGGCAGGAGGTGATGGGAAAGACCTCCACCTGAGACCCTGGAGAGCTGTAAGGAGGGGCTGTGGGGCTCAGTGGCAGAGCCTCTGTTTGGCATGCAGGAGGTCCCAGGTTCAATCCTCGGCATCTCCAGTTAAAAAGGACCAGGCAGGAGGTGATGGGAAAGACCTCCGCCTGAGACCCTGGAGAGCTGTAAGGAGGGGCTGTGGCTCAGAGGCAGAGCCTCTGCTTGGCATGCAGAAGGTCCCAGGTTCAATCCCCGGCATCTCCAGTTAAAAAGGACCACGTAGGAGGTGACGGGAAAGACCTCTGCCTGAGACCCTGGAGAGCTGTAAAGGGGGGCTGTGGCTCAGTGGCAGAGCTTCTGCTTGGCATGCAGAGGGTCCCAGGTTCAATCCCCGGCATCTCCAGTTAAAAGGGACCAGGCAGGAGGTGATGGGAAAGACCTCCACCTGAGACCCTGGAGAGCTGCAAAGAGGGGCCTTGGCTCAGGGGTAGAGCCTCTGTTTGGCATGCAGCAAGGGTGTAGACTTTCCAATTTCCCGGGGGGGGGGGCCTGGGGCTGGACCAGAGGCATTGCTGTGCTAGGAGCAAGGGTGGCTCCCGGGGGAGGCTGAGCACCTTCCTTAAAATTTCGGCGGGGGCTGACAGCCCGCCGCCCCCACCAAGATTACGCCCATGGTGCAGAAGGTCCCAGGTTCCATCCCCGGCATCTCCAGTTAAAAGGACCAGGCAGGAGGTGATGGGAAAGACCTCCGCCTGAGACCCTGGAGAGCCGCTGCCAGTCTGAGTAGACAACCTTGACCTTGATGGACTGATGGTGTGATTCATGTGTGCTCATGGGCCTGTGACTCAGTGGCACAGTATCAGTGGCCACAGTATTGTTGCCTTCCGTGTCATGTTTAAAGGCACCAGCCTCGTTTTCCCAGCTCGGTTCTGACACCACGAGTGATGGCCGAGGCCATTCCAAGGGGTCATCATCTGCGTCTCTCTCTCAGCCTCCTCTCTTTTAACCGTCTGCTCTTCCTCTCCACAGGACCGGAAGAAGGAAGATGGGGCTTCTCTCCGGTTTTGGCCTGGCCTTCCTTTGGTTCCTGGTCGCCGGCCCATTCCCAAGAGTTGAGTTTCTACTGAGGACCAACTTAACTTACTCTGCACCTGTTTGCACGTAACGTTTGCACATAACAGTTCCCAGAGATGTGGAAATGTATATATTGCAGAACCCTTCCTTCCTTTTTAGGGACCGTCCCATAAGCAGGCTTCTGTCATGTCTCACTCACAGGAGGGTTCCAGAAAACCCCACTGATATAGGGTTCGTTTCCCAAGGGCACAGGGATCTAAAGAGGAACAGCTTCAGAAGGAGCTCTCTCGGCCAGGGCCCCCTCATCTCTTCGAGCCCCTGGGGCGCCTTTGGAATTCTGTGACAGGGCAGTGGGCACACCCACAAAATGGCTGCCCCGGGAGGCGGAGCCAAACACAGAGAGAAAGCGCAAGGGCAAGGGAGGAGAGGGGTAATTTCTAAAAGGACATTGAGAAAAAGGAGTGAGAGATAAAACAGATGCTGTAGTGGCAGCTGCCCCTGGGAAACATTATTTTAATTTGCAGAGCCAGTTGGCTCGTCAGTGCCCAATCAGAACCCACCTTCTAAAAACACTGGGTGGGGGGGTCAAGAAAAGTGTCGGTGGGCGTAATCGTGCCCGTGGGCGGCACGTTGGGGAGCCCCGCTCTAGACGCAAACACTGAAATGATTCTCTGGTTCTGGAAGAGAAAGTGTCTGACCGCTCTGGAAACAGAGGCTCTTTGCCAACCCCCTAGCACCCAAGGTCCCGTCCCCCGCCACCTCTCCTCACACCCAGTCCTTCTCTCCGGAGTCACAGTCATTTAACACATGACCCCCCCTCCTTCTCCCCCCCCCACTGGTCCTTCCGTCTCTCCCCCACCCCCCGAGCAGGTGTGGGAGCCTTGTCGTGCCCGACGGGATGGATGTTCTACCAAGGCAGCTGCTACGGATTCTTCGAGGACAAAATGAACTGGGCGGAGGCAGAGGTAAGGGGTCCTTCCTGGCCATTCTCTACTAAGGAAGGGAATTCAGCCTCCTGCCATCCGGACGCCTCTGGGGATTTCGTGGACAGGACAGGGAGGCCCTATTTGCAGAAAAACCGGCTAAGTTTCACTGTGGCCCTGATCTGTGGATTTAGATAGCCACAGATAGGGGGGCACCCTTGAAAAATAGATGAACGCACATGAATACTGGCATTCAGGAGGAGTCTGAATGGTGACCCGGGAGGGTTTTCGAGGCAAGAGGCAAGAGGCAGTTTGCCGTTGCCTGCCTCTGCTTTACAACCCAGGACTCGCTTGGTGGTCTCCCATCCAAGTGCAAACCCGGGCCAAAACTGCTTAGCTTCCAAGAAACACCGAGAGCAGGCTGGGCTTGTTTCCATTGCTGCTTCTGCATAGCAACCCAGGACTCCCTTGGTGGTCTCCCGTCCAAATACTGACCAGGGGTGACCTTGCTTAGCTTCCGACATCTGATGGCCTGGGGCTATCCTGGGCAATCCAGGGCAGGGCACAGGCTTTTCTGCATGAGTTCGTATCCCCGTCCTTTTTTTTAAACAATTTTTATTTATTTACTTACATACATACATGGAGCTGTGGTGGCTCAAGTGGTTAAAACGCTGAACTGCAGGCTGTGGAAGGTCGGTCATTCGGCAGTTCGAGACCTGAGTGTGCCGCATGATGGAGTGAGCTCCCGTCTCTATCTCCAGCTCCTGCCAACCTAGAAGTTTGAAAGCAAGAAATTGCAAGTAGATAAATAGGGACCACTTTGGTGGGAAGGTCCGTGTGCCTTGGTGTTTAGTCATGCCAGCCACATGACCACGGAAACGTCTTTGGACAGCGCTGGCTCTTCAGCTTGGAAACAGAGATGAGCACCGCAACCCTAGAGTCAGATTCAACTGGCTTTCGAGCAAGGGAACCTTTACCTTTACCTTTTACATACATACACATGGACAAAACCAGGGAAAAACACACACACAAAGAAAACAAGACATAAAACATATTACATAAAACAGATCCTTCCTCTTTTCATGAGTTGTATTCCTCTATACATGACTAAGTAAAAAAAAAAGTTTACAATGATTCACTCTAACTGAGTGCTCGTTTCTATCCATTTATATGCATTTGACTATGTGGTAATCCACTTATTGACAGCAGCAAGAATAGTATGGGCTAAGTTCTGGAAGAATGAAAAGACACCAGATAGATGGGATTTTATTAACGAAGTGACTGAAGCGGTTGAAATGGATAATTTAACACCAAAAAAATCCACGGAAATATGAATTCAGTTTTCCAAAAAGTACGGTATCCCCATCCTTTTATCGCCATGTTGACGGGACTGGAGGGGGAACCCATCTGTAACGGAGTGTGACTAATAAAAGGACCAATAGGCATGTCCAGTTGAAAGAGAAGTCCGGAGGCACCTTTAAGACTGACAACATTGATTCCAAGAACTCACCTCTTCAGATGCTACGAAGGAGGTCATAGTCTACCTTTTATGGAGAAAGTCACAAAAAAGGGAGGGGAGAAGGGAAGAGCTGGAGGCAGAGAGAGGCTTGGTGTGAACCCCATCATAAACCGTTCAGGTCTGAAACCAGATTACGTTCTTACACATAATGGAGAATGAGAGACGCCAGAAGGTTCAGCCTTTCTCTCAAGCGATGCAGATAAGCAAACATGATAATAAAGCAGGTGCTGCTTAGAGGCATTAGAAATTGCAAGGGGGGGGGGGACCAGCAAGAAACTTGTAGGGAGGGGGGGTCCCTTTCCCCACATCTTTGCTTCCGTTGGCTCCCCCCCCCCCCTGGTTTTAATCATAATCATAATACTATTGACCTTGCAGCCCTGGCTGGCCACAGATTGCCCCTCCCCCTCCTCTCCCTGCCCCCTGGGGTAAAAAAAGGTCTCTCCTGTGTCCCTCCCCCAGATTGACTGCCAAAGCCAAGGCACCAATGGCCACCTCGCTTCCATTGGTAGCCGAGCGGAGGGAGCCGTATTGGCCAGACACATCCAGGCCAACCAGCAAGACTGCGTCAACGTCTTCATCGGACTGCATAACCCCCAGAGGGTGAGTATCTGCCAGGCTCGTCTGTGTTCACTCACTACATTCCAACAATATTTTCCTACTGCAGGATTGAAAACAATGTTCTTCACAAAAGGCCTTGAAATCAATGAAAATCAATCGATCCAATCAATTAAATGGGGTATAATGGATATAAACTACAGCAAATGAACTCATCGATACAAACCCCAGCAAAAGAGTTTTTGTCTAAGTTTGAGGAGGAGCTTCCTAATGGCAAAGTGTGTTCAACACAGGAAGATAACAAATTGAGAGTCCAGTGGCACCTTTAAGACCAACAAAGAACAAATAATCAAACAGACAGTCCTTGAGCATTTAGAAAGGACGGCTGTAATTAATAAGAGCCAGCATGGGTTTCTCAAGAACAAGTCATGTCACACTAACCATATCTCTTTTCTTGAGGAAGTTACTACCTTGCTGGATCAGGGGAATGCTGTAGACATAGTTTATCTTGATTTCAGTAAGGCTTTTGATAAGGTTCCACATAATATACTTGTTGACAAGCTGGAAAAATGTGGTTTGGATCCTATGACAGTTCGGTTGACAGATTGTACCCAAAGAGTGCTTGTGAATGGTCCCTCATCTTCTTGGAGAGGAGTGACAAGTGGTTGGCTCAAGTATCTGTCCTGGGACCTGTTTTGTTCAACATCTTCATCAATGGTTTGGATGAAGGGATAGAGGGAATGCTTATTAAATTTGCAGATGATACTAAATTGGGAGGGATAACAAATACAGTAGAAGACAGTCAGGTACAGGATGTTCTTGACAGGCTGGAAAACTGGGCTAAAAGAACTAAAATGAATTTCAATTAGGATAATTGTAAAGTTCTTTATTTAGGTAGGAAAAATCAAATGCATAATTATAGGTTGGGGGAGACTTGTCTTGGCAGTAGTATGTGCGAAAAGGATCTAGGGGTCTTAGTAGACCACACACTGAACATCAGTCAGCAGTCAGCAGTGTGATGTGGTTGCTAAAAAGGTAAATGCGATTTTGGGCTGTATCAACAGAAGCATAGTGTCAAAACGATTAATAAAATCTTTTTAAAAAAGAAGAAGAAGGAGAAGTATAGTGTCCAGATCACGTGAAGTGATGGTACCACTTTGCTCTGGTCTGGTTAGACCTCACCTAGAGTATTGTGTTCAGTTTTGGGCACTACAATTTAAGAAGGATATTGACAAGCTGGAATGTGTCCAGAGGAGGGAACGAAGAGGGTGAGGGGTCTGGAGACCAAGTCTTCTGAGGAAAGGTTGAAGGAGCTGGGCATGTTGAGCCTGGAGAGGAGACGACGGAGAGGTGATATGATAACCGACTTTAAACCATCTAGTTTGTTTTTGTGCTGTTGGTTTTAAGTCTATGTTGGATAAGTCTCTGGGAAGGCAGCAGGCACATTTCCTAAATAAATGTACCTTTCGTTGCCTTGGTTCCCCCCCCCCCAACCAAAATTTCTTTCTTGTCACCACAGAATAGACGCTGGAGATGGTCCGATAGATCTCTGGTGAACTTCAAGTCTTGGTTGCCTGGTATGCCTGACAATTTCAATCAACTTGAAGAATACTGCACAGAGCTTTGGTGTCAGGCAGGTGAGCCCTTTGATCATGACTTGACATATATTGGGTGACCCAGAGATGGGGATATTCTCACAGAATGAGAGGCAGTACAGAATTGCATCACATGCTGTAGTGCTTTGGGAATGGGTTGTGGCTCAGTGGAAAATCCTCTGCTTTCCATGCAGAAGGTTCCAGGTTCAATCCTTAGCGTCTCCAGTTAAAAGGACCAGGCAGGAAGTAAGGTGAAAGACCTCCGCCTGAGACCCTGGAGAGCTGTAAAGAGGGGCTGTGGCTCAGTGGAAGAGCCTCTGCTTGGCATGCAGGAGGTCCCGGGTTCAGTCCCTGGCATCTCCAGTTAGAAAAGGACCAGGCAGGAGGTGATGGGAAAGACCTCTGCCTGAGAGCTGTAAAGAGGGGCTGTGGCTCAGTGGAAGAGGATCTGCTTGGCATGCGGAAGGGCCCAGGTTCAATCCCCCGGCGGCATCTCCAGTTAAAAGGACCAGGCAGGAGGTGATTGGAAAGACCTCCACCTGAGACCCTGGAGTTCTTTAAAGAGGGGCTGTGGCTCAGTGGTAGAGCATCTTGCTTGGCCTGCAGAAGGTCCCAGGTTCAGTCCCCAGCATCTCTAGATAAAAAGGATCAGGGAGGAGGTGACGGGAAAGACCTGTGCCTGAGACCCTGGAGAGCTGTAAAGTGGGCCTGTGGCTCAGTGGCAGAGCCTCTGCTTGGCATGCAGAAGGTCCCAGGTTCAATCCCCGGCAGCTCCAGTTAAATAGGATCAGGCAGGAGGTGATGGGAAAGACCTCCACCTGAGACCCTGGAGAGCTGTAAAGAGGGGCTGTGGCTCAGTGGCAGAGCCTCTGCTTGGCATGCAGAAGGTCCCAGGTTCAATCCCCGGCATCTCCAGTTAAAAGGACCAGGCAGGAGGTGATTGGAAAGGCAGAGTTGTGAGAATAAAATTAAAGTAAGGACTGAGGCAAATGTTGCTGTTGCCAAAGTAATCTTAGGATCATTATCGCTAAGTAAATAAAAGTATAGGGCAATGCCTGATCCATAATAAGTGCCTTGCTATAGTAATCCCTAATGTTCTAGATTAAAGGCTCTATTAGAAAAGTCACTTTTCGCTGAGACACATATTCAACAGGGAAATTGTAGTCGGGGCAAACGAATAGGATTCACTGTGGAATCCATTAACTTTTCCACCCAGCTCGTCCCCCAAGAATCCTAGAAAGCTCTCCATCGTTCTCTCTTTCCCATTTTTACGAAGAGAGCCCGTCTGGTGTGATGGTTAAGAGTAGCAGACTCTAATCTGGAGAACCGGGCCTGCTTCCCCACTCCTCCTCCTCCATGTGAAGCCAGCTGGGAGACCTTGGTCTAGTCACAGTTCTCTCAGAGCACTCTCAGCCCCACCTACTTCACAAGGTGACTGTTGTGGAGGGAAGGAGGGAAGGAGATTGTAAGCCACTCTGAGACTCCTTTGGGTAGAGAGAAGGGCGGTATAAAAACCAACTCTTCTTCTTTGATCCTCAGAGAACCTTGTAAAGTACGGTTAGGCTGAGAGAGATTTCACCAACAATCATACAGTGAACTTCATGACTTTATGGGGATTAGAAGGTGGTGGTGGCTACAAGCATGGGCAGCTTCAAGAGGGAATTAGATAAGCATATGCAGCAGAAGTCCATCAATGGCTATTAGCCACAAGGTATAGATAGGGACTCTGGGGCAAGTGATGCGCTGTCTTCTTGGTGCTTGGGGGGGGCAACATTGGGAGGGCTCCTAGTGTCCTAGCCCCACTGCTGGACCTCCTGATGGCTCCTGGTGTTTTTTGCCACTGTGTGACACAGAGTGCTGGACTGGATGGGCCACTGGCCTGATCCAACATCGGCTTCTCTTATGTTCTTATGTCTGGGGCAAGGGATGCTCTGTATTCTTGGTGCTTGGGGGGGGG